TGCAATGACCCCTAGCACTTCCCCTCTACACTTACGGAGGAATTCAGTTCCTTAACACTAAATTTCTTCGGTTTGGGGCTTAGAAAGAAAGACATTTCCAAAGTGCTCTCACAGTCTGTGTTTGAGAGACAGAAGTGCTCCCGTCTCACACAGTTGTGACTCTGCACATAGTTGTGCACGTAATGTCTTATGTGTAACCAATTCAAGATGTATTGTTCATGAATCATGAGTGAATGTCTCATTTCTTTGAGTGGAAAGCCCCTGTGCACGATGTGTACGTGTTTAAGAATATCTGTCTGTTCCATCCACCTGGTGATCACCGTGCCATGAAAAACTAGTAGAATCAAACTGCAAATAAGACAAGCATGGTTCAATCCTGCATGCGTGTGTGTGTGTTTATGTAACCACAGTTTCCTGGCTAATACACCTCAAGGCATTTTACCTTCTAGATTTACCTCCATTTCCTGTAACCCACAGGAACACACACACCCTCTCCTGCTTATCATCTCTGCTGTAGTGTGTGCAGGTGTGCTAAGCCAGGGTTCTATCTCTTGAACACACCTCATACTTAGGGAGTGTAGCAATGTTTGGAATAGCATGCTATCCCACTATTCCTGCTGATTATAGTATGTAATCTATCTATCTGTCTGTCTGTCACATTGAAAATAATAAGAAATGTTTCTTGAGCAACAAATTAGCATATTAAAATGATTTATGAAGGATCATGTGACACTGAAGACTGAAGGCAGTTCTGATGCTGAAAATTCGGCTTTGCATCACAGGAATAAATTACATTTTAAAATAGATTAAAATGGAAAACATTTTAAATTGTAAAATTATTTCATATTATTGCTGTTTTACTGCATTTTTGATCAAATAAATGCAGCCTTGGTGAGCAGAAGAGACTTTTCATTTAAAAAAATCCAACTCACCCCAAACATTTGAACGGTAGTGTATACTATGTATAGTTTGCAAATTTTACCTATGCAAACATTTGCGTTTACAATGTGCAACATTTTTTAATGAAACAGTAGCCATTTTTCCAAAAATGTTTCAAACATTAGAATGCTAGCCTATATTGTTGTCACATGACTTCAGTAAGTGTACAGTTTTTCTTGTAAATAACTTTTTTTTTAGCCCAATTTTATGTCAAAATGTAAGCCTACTAATGAGTCAAGAAAGATATGTTAAAAGTCACATGTGATATTATTTTTGATTCACGCTTCACACCGGAAATGAAAGTCGAATCGTTCCATTGCATTGTGAGATTTATCTTGCAATTATCTCCGTTGTATACTGCACATTCTGGCAAATGTAGGCCATCTGTGTACAGTATACGTACTATAAGGGTAGAATGGTAACGTTAGCGTAGCACACCTAAAAAACTAGCGCAGATCTATCCAATTATGCAGTGCACTCATCTTTCCATTTCCAGTGTGACACACAAACAGTAAACAGTTATCTTTTAATTCATTTGCCTTGACTTATTTGTTTGGACTGAGTTGAATTGGATTAAAACTGCAAAACAACAGTCTGAAATTATGATAATAACTTGTACCTAATGATGTCATGTGAGAAAGATAATAACATACAAGCATACTACTGCTTGAAACGTTTTTCTCTGCATAATATGCACTGTTTCACATACTTTTTATGCAGCTTGTCTGCAGTTGTCAGTTTTTTGGGGAATAGAATACCACAAAAAATTGTTGTTTTGAGTGCAACATTTGAATCCACCCTAAAACTGTTGAATCACATGACACACACAGACACGCCTCTCGGAAGTGCAGTGCATTTTTCTCAGGGCTGTGAGAGTTTCTGTATGGGAGTGTGTGCAGTAATTGTCTGCAAGCGCGCTTGTGAATGTGTGGATTAAACCATGGGTAGATCATCCAAACAAAACAGACCTGTGATGTCATGCAAATGAGTTCCTAACATGTATATTATAATAACTAATATTATGTAACCAAATGCAAATGAATCATGTGCAGCTTGCAGAGAACATGTGAGTCAGTGTTTCTAACTTTGATCCTGGATCAAACTGATGTGATTACGGTGAGGAGTGGATAAACTTTGTGGCACCACTGACTGCATGCAGGTTCTGCTGTTTGTTTTTGTGCATTTCCATGGTGATGGACTGAGTCAGAAAGCTGCACTCTGATTGGTCCATTGATCTGCTAAACAGAGCTCTGCAGCCACGTGAGGATGTCTTCCTCTCAGTTTCGCTCACACACGTGAAATCAGCTCCAGTGTCCTCATTTTTTACACTGTGTTAGTGTGTCGTTGTACTTTTTTTTTTGCTTTGCTTTTTTCCAACATCCATCTCGCTCTAGCTATCCCTCTTTAAATGAGCTGTTTATGTTAAACAGCATCATTTTCAAATGTTGCTGTTTACTTTATGCCTTGTGCATTCATGTGAAGTTTTGTTCTTTATGTGACTGTTTGTGCGTCTATTAATTGAGTAAAATGACCTCCTTGAGTAAATACATCTGCTGGGTGTGTTTATTCAAGATATAATGCCTTGTTTAAAAGTTTTACACATCATGAATGTGTGCTGTGTAAGGGTGTGTGTCAGTATCTGTGTGTGTAAGGGTGGAGCTGGTGACTAGGTGTTCAGGAATGAGACTCAATCTCAATTTTGGTGTGCGATGCACATCATTAGGACCAGACCCTGAAGGACCACCGAATTCCACAACAATTTCATTCCAAACTGAGGTATTCAAACTTTTGTTCTCTAGACCTTCTTTTTTTTTTTTGAGGGGACGCAAGTATCAGTCCTGGTTCAATTGGTTCCCTATGCAAGATATGTTCAAAAGGAGTTGCTCTCGCTCTTTAAAGACTGGTGGATTTCTGATTGGCTGTTAAAGGAGCTGTATGTAAGAAATGTATTTCAATTAACCATAAAATGACCCTGAAATGTCACTAGACATTAAGAAATCATGTACATTTCAAATACTTTTATCACTGACAACAGTAGTCTGGCCAGGATATCGTCATTTAAAAAGTGCAGTTGCAGCCCTCAACTGATATTGATGTTGTCATGTTGTGTTTTGGTCTGATGCTCCACCCTCCACCTATCTACCAATCACGAAGTCAGTAGTGTTGCGGCATCCGGGTTGCCAGCTCTGCTCTGGTTACCACAGCTGCAGCTCGTCACGTTCCTGCTGGATCCTGCAGCCGATCTGTCAACCTCGAGTCAGGGGGGAGGGGGAGGGGATACACCACTCTACAGTAATTTGACAGTGATTGCAGTACTAGTTTTGGCCACAATCTTACATACAGCTCCTTTAAAGTTTTTATCCTTCCTCAGCTGGAAAATTATGTTGTTCCTCTGTGGCGTTGTTAATGATAAAACGGTATGGACATTTCAAATCATGAATCACAATTATAGTGACCAAAATGATCATGGTTATCAATATTATCACAGTATTGTGAAATGTGCTGGAAATGTTCAAAAAGTACTCCTACCCTTACCCACAATGAAATCATTTCACCAAGTTGTGTCAAAAGCCAACAAATAAAATATTTTTTTTACATTTAAATAAATTTAATTAAAACTAAACATAAACCTATTAAAATAATAACATTATGATTTTAAATTAACAAAAAATAGGGTGATTTATACAACACAACATGGCATCTACTTAGTTATATGTAGTAAATGTTCAAATAAATCTTTGATTAAAAAAAAGTTTGATAAAATGATAAACCTCACATTTCAGCTTTTAAATCATTTTTATGAAAACGATGAGTAAAAAATGATAGCTATTTTATCTGCTCCATGTACGGCTGTTTGATTATGGCAAACATAAGCACGATTATTTTGGTCAATATTGAAATCGTGATTATTTAACACGATTATGGTGGGTAATATGATCAAAGTTTTATTTCATGATACGAGACATTTTAAATGTCAGTGAAATTTCACAATTATCGATTGGCCTACTTAAGCAAAAACGAATGGTAGGTTAATTAATGTAAGTAAAAAGTCCTCAAAACAGAGGACAAGTAAACAGTCAGCAATACAATAAGAACAAAGAAACTAATTACAAACATAACCGACAAAAAATACAACAGAAGAAAAATATAAATTAAACCATGCTTTAATGCATGTTATAGATCTTATTGTGAGCAATTCATCCATGTGTGTTTCTTTTTATTCTTTTTTAACATGTCATTTTTAATCAAATGATTTAATTAGAAAGTCTCAATCTTTTCTTCTAATCAGTTAGTCTGCTTAAACCTGTCCCTTTTTTACAATCGACTGCAAGATTGCATTCATTTGTGAATGCCACATCACAAAATCCAATCAACAGCTGATTCATACAGTTTTTCTTTTTAAGTTTCACTCCGATGTCTGTCACAGCACAGAAGAAAAGATTTGTTGTTACTTCCGTTTCATCACAACTTTAAGTTTCAAAGATTTTTAGAATTTGGCTCAAAAGTCTGAGAGGGCATGTCACTGCATCACATAAATGAAATATCACTCCTGTAATATATGTGACAACCAAAACACGTGATAAGGTGATTCCTCAGAACTGCATTCTACATCACTGAAGTCTAAGGTTGAATTTCCAGCAATGCCGGACTGGGAGAATGTTTGATTGTTTAGTGGTAGATGAGTCAATTTTTTTTTTTTTTTTCTGTTTCTTCTGCTTTTCCCTTAGAGATTCAGCACTTGAGTGTTTTATAATTCTGAAGAAATACTTATTTGTCTTCTATATGCCATCTATAAAAAATGTGTGGAAAGACCGATGACCATTGATGTGTTTTGGAGGACATGAATGCTAGTCTTTGTTTCTCTTTAGCTTTTGCTCACTATACTTATTCATTCACTCCTCCTCTATGTAGTGCTCTACGTGAAATGGACTATATGGTTAAACATGAATGAGTAAGCAGTTCATTTCAGGGGTTGGTCTAGTGTCCAGGTAATTTACAAACCTAAGAAAACTAGTTTTACAAAACAATGTGAATCATTATTATTTCTGTTTTTGTGGCAGGCCGCACGATGTCTTCTGGCAGTGACTCCGTGGGGGATCTGATTCCCTCAGATATGCTGCAGGTGTTCAGTGAGGAACGGCAGGGGGGCAGAGGTAAACGGGGCAGGAGACGGATAGGATCCTTCAGCCGTGCGTTCAGGTGGTTGAAGAGCCAGCGCAGGAAATCCCGCCGACACGCTACAGAGATGCGTGGAGACCTGCTCGCCATTGGATCACCTGTAGAACTACCACAATCCACACTTAAAACAGGTGACACTTTACCACCATGTACTCCTAACAACAGTGTTTCCTTCCTTATACAAGTTCTACAGAATCAGATGGTGAATGGGTTCTTGTTTACTGTTGGGCTTGTTTCGTTTTTCTGTCTCGCTCGGAAGACTTTTGTGTTCGCATTAACCATATATGAAACTAGTGTCACATCAATCATAACATAAACTGGTTCTGTAAGCAGATGTGTCTCGGGGAAGTTAAAGAAAAAGGAGAAGTGTACCTTGTGTAATGAAAGTTGGGAAATGAGTTTAGAAAATCCAGCAACAACATCAGCATGAATAAACCCATCTATAAACGTACATGCACTTTTATTCAAAGCGACTTGCATTGCATTCAAGGTACGTTTTATCAGTTCATTCCTGGAAATCGAAATACATGACCTTGCCGTTGCTAGTACCATGCTCTGTTGTGAGCTACAGGAAGTATTTCCAAGATTAGTCCAAAATCAGTCAATTATAAAATGTACCAGACCAACACTTTAACCAACCAGTTTCTCCAATTTTGTTCACTCTGCACATTAAACTGAGTTAGAAGGTATTTTAGTCTTGGAAAAATAACACACTTTAGCTTTAATGTGCAAAAACGAGCATTATTTTAATCGACATGATTGTACTCAAATTCATTTGGTCAACACATGCTTGTTTTCTTTGTGAAGTAATTGCTGTTTAATGGCATAGCTTTAAGGCTTGGCTGTTAGGACAAGCTGTTTTGCCATATAAAAATACTTTGAATTTGTGACATTTGCCAATAAGAATATTGCAGTAAAATGTAAGTTATGTCCTCGTTTTTAAGCATTTGATATTGCAACATGAAACTAATCTAACCTAATTACTGCACTAACTAAAAGTGAGGGATTCAGTTAGGTTTGTATTTAAAGTGTTTAAATGCATTTGATCTTAAAACACTTTCCTCCGGCTTCACAGACAAGGCTTAAGCCTAAAATGCATGTTTGAGCTGTTGTAACTGAAAGCAACTTGCACTGTCATATCTTAAAATATGTCAATGCCATTGTTTTGTCTCAAGATGCACACCAGTAATGTTTTTTTCTAAGGCAAAAGGTACTTAAATATCCTAATTGAACTAAGGCTTAATCCTGGCTTAATCTAAGCCCTGTCTGTGAAACCAGGCCTTTATCTGTCCTTTTATTGCCCAACTAGTAAATGGTGGGTATGTGTTTTCAGTTGTGGGTAATGTGTTCAGACATTCAGTAATTTCTGTTCAGACAGTGTAATTAGTAGGGTAATCCTGTTACAATCTAGAAGTCATTATTAGTTTGGGTAACTGGTTTTCAGCGTTCCCTGGCAGTTTTGGTTTTTAATACTGGTACGAATTATAACACAGCAATGAGCAGTGGTTTATTCCTTGTTTGTTGGACCAGGGAAGGTTGACGCATCAAATTACCCTAAACCATCTTGAGATATGTCTCTTAAATACCTATATATTATTGTGTGTATGTGTGCCAAGACCGAGACTGGAAAATGTTTGCCTTTATTATTATTGCAAAGTCATGAGTTTTCCGAGCAGAAATTTCAACATGCCAGAAAGATAAAATTTGACCTCTACTTGAGGTCACTTTAAGTGCTTGCTTTGTGTGTACAAGTCTCAAATGTTTATTTAAAAGTGTGCAGTACATTTTGTGGTTTAGCTTGGGATCAGAACAAGAATTGGATGCATGTGAATTGTCTTATGTTTTGTGTGTGTGTGCTTTTCTTTGTGAGCTGAGCAGAGGATGAATGTGAAGGTTCCACATGGGCTGTAGTGGCAGGGAGAACTTTGTGAGAACACACCTCAACCCCACCCATGTACTGAAGCATGAATCCACTCAAACACACACACATGCACGCCGGGCTGACAGAACAGACTGCAGCTTAATGATCGATATGGTGCATAACCACCAAAAATAAACAGCTGTTATGTGATTCTCCAGAGGGTGTGGTCACTGCCTGCTGCTGAACACGGTACAAAAAAGCCCATGGATTATTGAAACCCTTCACACTCGCCCTTATTAGCTGAAATTAAGAAAATAGCATTACGCATTGGAGAACGTGACTCACACAGTTGATTTCAATACGGTTTAATGTGACATTTTTCTAATCTAATGGCACAGTACTCAAACTGATTTCTGTGTATTTTAATAACGCAAAGATGTATTAATACTTTTCAGTATTAAATGAAATGTATTTATAATCAACATTTCGTTTGTTTTAACCATATTGGGAACTATTTGGCTGAGCTTGTCGCAGTGGATTATGGGATTGCCTTCTCCGTGAAGGACAGATACAGACGCCTGCCTTTTGGAACTTGCTTTGTATTGGTAGTGCAACGTTGATGCTTTAAAATGCTATCTATGTGTTTTATCATCTGTGATTTGATCATTCTGGGTTCTTGTGAATGACCCTGTGTTGATTTAAAAAATGTGTTACTTTAAAAACACAAAATCTTTACAGTGTGTTTGGTAACTTGATAAGGTTATCTAGTGCTGCTCCCTTCCGATATGGCGATGATGACATTCAGTCTCAGTAAGTGAACTGATTAGATTAGTTTGTCTGGGTAAAATGCTGAGCTCAATTTTGTCTTGTGTCATTTTTTTCATAATTGTTTATTTCTGCTTGACACAGTAACTAAATAATCATTAGAATACCAAAGGGAAAACAGAAGTCTCTTATACTGACCAAGGTTGCATTTATTTGATCTAAAGGACAGTTACAGTACATTATACATTGTGAAATATTATTGTAATTTAAAATATATTTTAAAATGTAATTTGTTCCTGTAATGGACAAGCAGATAATTTTTATAAAATCATTGGATCTTATTCACTAATAATTGCGTGGATTATTTCGTATTTGTACGCACAGGAGAACTTCTTACGAAAAATCTCTGCATAATTCACAACACGTGCGTACGCATGTGTTGATCCAGTCTGGTTGATTCAGTCAAATTTACAACAAATTTATGTGCGTAGACATAAATTTGTTGTAAATTTGACTGGATTAACCAGACTCCATTGGCTTACACTCACAGAAGTCATTCTTACAGAGGTGGACAGTAACAAAGTACATTTACTTGAGTACTATACTTAAGTACACTTTTTGAGTATCTGTACTTTACTTGAGTATTATTTTTTCTGGAAACTTTTTACTTTAACTTCACTACATTTGAAAGGCAAATATCGTACATTTTACTCCACTACATTTCTGTCAAGGTCCTTGAGTAGAAAGTAGTTATGTTAGTCAGGGCATGATTTTGGTTGCAGGGGTTGCAGTTTGGTTGGAAATGAAAGTCAGAACCCGACTAATGATTTTCATTTTCAACCACAATACAACGTCAGTCGTTGGAGTTGGAGATTAACGTTGGATTCTGACATCAACCTCATTTTAATTTTCAACGTTGGGTTTGGTCTTCTAAATGCGAATTTTGTCATGTTTTGTCTAATTTTTTGTGTTTTGGAGCACACAGGATTAACGTTGGATTCTGACATCAACCTCATTTTAATTTACAACGTTGGGTTTGGTCTTCTAAATGCGAATTTTGTCATGTTTTGTCTAATTTTTTGTGTTTTGGAGCACACAGTAAGGCTAACACATTCATACTAAAAGCCAAAAAACTTTAAACAGGGTACTATTTGAGGGAACAGCCATTTGCGTGTCCGATACCATTGTGGACGTTATTGAGTGCACTAATCCAATCTCACATTCAATCCCACTACTGGAACTGTGAACTCTAGAAATAAATTTGATATTTATATGAGGGTAGGTAGGCAGGCAAAGATTCAGAGGCATAAGGTACTGTAAGTATTACATACAACAATGTAACAATAATAAAACAATGCATTAACATTTACTTTTTACTTTTGATACTTAAGTACTTTTAAAATGAGTACTTCTGTACTTTTACTTATAAGTAAAAATAAGTCCAGAGTAATATTTGACCAGTCGTTTCTGTACTTTCACTCAAGTAAGGAAGTTGTGTACTTTGTCCACCTCTGCATTTTTATTGGCCAGATCAGTTAGAAGAAATAACTGCTTTTAGTTAAAAACTGCATATTTAAATTTTTGACATTTTAGCGCCCGAAGAAAGAAACCACATCATATTTTACTGGTTCTTTAAATGTTTTATGCTATGAAAAGGTTTGTACCTATGAGGCCAGTTTTCATTTCATTTCAGTTTTCAGCCGAGGGCCCCAAAAACCAGCTCAAGTTATATTGCAATGTTTAATATTTAGGGCTAAGGGTTTGTTCATACACCAAGTATGAGCAATAGTAATAGTAATGCTTTAGCAAGCTCCGCTAATAAGAGGGTCACAGCTACTGAGAACACACTCATAATATTGTGTTTTGCATCCTCTATCGCAGACCTTGCAATGTCAAAACTTCCTGTGGGATGTTGCCGGTTCAGTCTGAACAAAGAGCTGTTACTTTAAACTTGTTTCCCATGAAATGTTCCACTGACACACACCTACACACACTCGTGCACACACACATACAGCTCTTTCCAAAGTTTTTTGACTTCTCCTGATGGAAGTGACATGCTTGCCAGGGGCAGAGGTGGACCAAGTACACAACTTCCTTACTTGTGTGAAAGTACAGATACTACTGGTCAAATATTACTCCGTTACAAGTAAAAGTTGTAAAGACCGATTTTTACTTAAGTAAAAGTACAGAAGTACTTGTTTTTTAAAGTACTTGAGTATCAAAAGTACAAAGTAAATGTCAATCAATGCATTGTTGCACACCCCAACAAAAGAAGTACACATCTATGTGTATCCATTCTTGCACATTTGAATCAAGTGGTCTGTAGTGTAAATACAAAAAAAAAAAAATCTAGCTATACAACCATAACTGTATAACTGCCCAACACAGCACAACAGAAATACTTATTTGCCATGAAAACAAAACTTTCACACCATTACTTGTGACAACGATACTGTCTCTCACAGATCACTAGTAAAGAGAAATGTCAAACTTCACGACACGTGA